ACCAGTTGGTCCAAGGAAGCAGTGAAGAGGAAAAAAAGAGAGACAATAGCCAGTCATTGGCAGTTGTCTTGGTGCAGGAAATGCCTTTTTGATGTCAGAAGAGGATGAACAGTTTGGTTCCAGATGATGAAAGGCATCACCAACTGAAACCACTTACAACTCAGGCATGACCACCTATAAAAAGTGAATGAATAAAACCCTGTGTTTTTGGCGCTCAGCAGATAACCATGTTGACCTTTTCTCACATACGGTATTTCAAACACAAAAATGTATCCCACTAGAAAATAAAGTGTCCCACTAGATCACATCGTTTGACAAGGAAGAATGCCTTGTTTACAGCCACTCGAGTCACCCATTGTTTATATACTTGTTATCTGGACCATGCCTCCTTGCTTTGAGTTTCTGCCACGTGAGTGGTTCGTTGGATATTAGCATTAACAATTGGTTTAACTGGTATTCCTAATAAAGTGGCAGGTAAGTGAGCAATTGATGGCCTGATTGATTGACCTGATTGACCTACATCCATAGATCTTCTGATTTTATGAGTGTTAAGAGATTGACTCTAATTTAAAGCATTGAAAACACAGATCTTGTTTTGCCAAATGAATTTCTTACCTGATGCACATAACCGTATAAACATACAAGACTTGACTGATGATTGTAAAATTGCAGTGGAATGCCTTCCCCTTTAACTCGCGCCTATTCTTTTGTTTCTTCTGTAGCCGGAGCATACTATCCAGCCCAGCCACAGTACCCTCCATCTGTCCAGACTGCACCGGTCATCATTAACACCTCCCAGCAACAGCAACAAGCCCCGCCTCCCCAGCAACCACCGGCACAGTCGCAAGGCCCAGTAAAGCGGGAACGTAAACCGGTATTGTTTCCAAACAAAAAGCCCTAACACATGTCCTGTTAGTGAACAAAACATGAATAGAGACAGAAAGAAAGCAAATGTGTTGTCTTTTTTAATGTGGAACTTTCTCTTTTGCTGTTAAAAGTAGTAAGTAATTATTAAATTAGGTAGCAGCAGTATGTTGTTGGTGTTTGGAATGTGTCATGTAGTCTGTAAAATCATGTTGTTTCCTTAACTTTTTTTTTTTTTTACATCAAAGATAAGAATACGAGACCCCAACCAGGGTGGGCGTGACATAACAGAAGAAATAATGTCAGGTGCGAGGTCCACCACCACTCCGACTCCCCCACAGGTAAAAAGGCTGCTGACACTTTAAAAAAAAAAACGTTTTTTTTAATGTTTAATCAACGGTAACAGAATTTAGGGGAACATCTTTATTTTATTTTTTTAAGAAAGTTCAAATACACCTTAAAATGGGTTACCATAAAATCAAGGTTCAAGGAAGTTGGTTAATAGAGGGTATATAATAATTTTCAGCTTAACTTCTATTTAATGATTTTCCTGAAAAATGTTTTTTTTTTTTTTAAATTATTTTAGGCATCTATAGGAGATTTAAGTGCTGCACAGACCAATGGTGAAGTCACACAGCCTGTCACCACAGTGACAAGACAAGGTAAGAACTTCTTCTATATAGTGTCACGTACAACTGTAGTGTTCCATATGTGATACTTAAATTTGTTGTGTTGACCAGATGAAAACATGGAACCTCATGTCAGCACTGAAACGCCACCTCCAGCCACATCAGATACAGAGCTTGTGGTGGAAGCCAAACAGGAAGTGGACAACAAGATAACAGTGTGCGCTGAATCAACCACAGCTGATACAGTGGATCAATCCTTACTCATTGAGGACCAGCACTCTCCCACTCCCCCACCATCTGCAATAGCACCTACCACTG